TCGTTATGCATAAAGTGGGTTGAAAAAGGAGGCGATACAGCCGGGACTCTGCTAATGAACTAGCAAGGATATGCGGCGAATGGAACGCCAACTGAAGTCAAGCCGAGCGCAAAGGATTGGGCCACGTTTTTGTGCAGAAGGCCTAATCAAAGCGACAGCTGAAATCCGCAACAGCATACACACTCAGAATCACGCACACACTGCCAAAAGCACCCATACGTTCATGCCTATAAATATATATGTACACGGGAACAAGGTCAAATGATAGAAATTCCACCCGAAATATTTACGGCTGAGCGATTGCCTCCTTTCGGTTGGCCAACAAATCGCATTGGACTCGAAATTCAACTCCAGTCAAGAGAAAATAATGTTCACTTTACTGAGCTGAAAAATGAAAATTCAGAATGCGCTTAAAGTATTTCTCAAATGAATAATTAAACTTTGGTCATAGCTTACTGTAGTTTACGGTCTGATGCTATTTTAATTGAATGCTTTCTAGGTCATGATATGTTCTCGTTTAAGGAATTTGTTTTAAAAATGCTTTTTATTTATTTTCCTTATTAAAATATTTTGAAGGACGATAGTTGTATTTGGTATTCATTTTATTATGTTTTCAAATATTGCTCTTTTATACCTTTCGGAGTATTCCTGTACTTCAAACGTGGTTAAGTTAAACCTTAGTTTCCACCTAAATTTAAATAAATTAAATACGTTAGGACCTTTATTTTTCTCATTTCTATGCTGCTGATTAAAATTATATATTTTTTTGCTGTCAAATATTTTTAAAATCAACATGAGCAAATGAAATGCCAACTGACATAGAAAAAACATAATCTTTAGCGTTTTATAATTTTGCATAATCGAAATGGCAGCTCAAAAAATGACTGAATTTCATTCTAAAACCGAGAAAAAAAGCGGACCAAGTGAAGCAAAAACTGAAACAAAAACCGAATCAATGACAAAAGTGAACAAATGAAAACGTAATGGAAACCTTACATGAAAACCCATTAATCTTGGCTCTGACGCAATTCGCACGCAGGTGAAAAGCAGGGGAGGTTGGGGATCAGGGGCCATAAGGAAGATTAGCCATGTTGTTGTGCAATGGCCAATCAAAATCTGACCAGGAACACATGAGATGATGGCAGTCAGACGTCAGTTTCCTTTCAGTCTTTGCGTTCACCTGTGGATCTTCCTTTACCACCCTCACAATAAATAGCACGATTTGATGGAGGAATTAGGAGGGTAACTGCAGTGTTTTATAACATCAGCGAGGGATGATATAGCTATTTATATTCCTTTGTTTAGAGCCTGTCATTCATTTCATATAATTCTAATTTTAGTCGATGTTGCTGTGTCATTTTAAATTAAACGAGTAATCTGTAATGTTAAAAAAGGAACAGCATAAAACATGTTAATGTTTTTCAATGTTTAACATTACTGTTGAGACAAGTATAAAAGTTATTTCCCACTTTTAAACTTGGTAGTTTTCGAGAGCCACGTGTCGTATGAGTTATATCTTTCTAGGAACAAGAAAAATGCATAAAAATTGGATTTTATCTTAAAACAATTAACTTTGATAAGATACATATTTAAACAATAAATAAATAAAGACAAATTATAACACAAAATTTATTGTTAAATTAATTTATTTCAATCTAAACGAGAAAGGAAGCTAGCTTCGGCAAGCCGAAGCTTATATACCCTTGCAGATCATTCTATTAATTTACAAATCGCAAAAATGTTAAATTTTTTATTATTTCACATTAATTTTTCGATCGTTTCTATCACAGCTATATGATATAGTAGTTGATCTTTTAAAAATTTAAATCGAAATTCGGAAATATTTCAAAATAGTCATATCCCAGAGCAGAAGGGAATGTAATAAAAACCAACAAAGATATAATTTTTTTCCCATTAATTTCCATTTAATTTTTCAACCGTTCCTATGGCAGCTATATGATATAGTGATCCGATTTAAAAAAAAAAAAAAAATCGAAATTCAGAAATTTAAAAAGAAAAATACTCCCAAGAGTAGAAGGTAAAATTTCAAAAAACACCGGAGCTAGAATTTTTTTTCCGTTTTTTTCCGTTTTTTTTTCGATCCTTCCTATGGGAGCTATAAGATATAGTTGTCCGATCCGTTCGGTTCCGACATATATACTACCTGCAATAGAAATACGACTTTTACGAAAGTTTCATCGCGATAGCTTCAAAACTGAGAGACTAGTTTGCGTAGGAACGGACGGACAGACGGACAGACGGACAGACGGACGGACAGACGGACGGACAGACGGACAGACGGACGGACAGACGGACATGGCTAGATCGACTCGTCTAGTGATGCTGATCAAGAATATATATACTTTATGGGGTCGGAAACGTCTCCTTCACTGCGTTGCAAACTTCTGACTGAAATCATAATACCCTCTGCAAGGGTATAATAAATTCAATAAATATTTATCATATATTGCTTGGATGACAAACAGCCTCCATTAATACAGGCAGATAACGATTCCTCCTCGATTTCGCCTTCCCGACAGCGTCATTTGTATTGCTTTGTAGCAGTACCACCCCTCCCATCGTGCGACTTTTGTCCACCTCCTCAAATTATTTGCTTTTGCCTCTTTTTTTACGGTCGAAGGACGACTGACAAAACACTCCCATGTCGATGGGTGGAGCGCATGAAATTTAAAACCGAGACGCCTTTTTAATGCATGTGTACTGTGTGCACGTCTTCCTTAGTGGAATTAAATTAATGACAAACAATTTCTCATTGTCTTTTCGCTGTTGCGTACTTAGCACGCGCCGGAAATGTATCCATATCCGTTTGAAATTTTTCCATTGTTTTCCTGCAGCACACACAAAGTCGCTGGAGCGGCGATAAAGAGGTCCTTATGCACTCAGGAAACGGTATTCAATAAATATTTAAAATCCGCTTTTAACTTAAAGTAACTTTCATTGCACACTATTACACCATTAAACCTTTTAAAAAGGAATACATTTTTTTAAATGGCTTTATTTATATGTTTCGAAAAAAGTAGTAATAACAAATATTTAAAATTAAAATCATTTTTGTATACTCTCAGATCCCAATTAAAGTGTAATAATTTTCAACATCAGCTTATAGAAAAAGTCATATCAATTTTGTTTCAGTGTAGAAGCCGTATGAAAGGGTGGCAATGTAGAAACTACAAGGCCTGTGACCAACAACAAATCGCCTTTAAGTGACGGCAGTGAAGCTTCGCTAACTGCGAACGGCAAACTGTTGTGGAACCGCCATTAAGCCCAACACACCACTTGGCCAGAAACTGGGATCGCACATTAGCAGTCGTAAAACTTATAGACAGAGCCATCGCCAACTATTAGCCATCATTGGCAGCTGTGTCCCTGCAACGTGGCCATCATGTCCTTCGCATTTTCATTACTACCAGTTTTGCCTACATTCAAACAGAGTAAATCACTTATCAAATTGGACAAATTTAATTATATTTATAACGAATTTATAGAAATTTAAATTTGATTATAATCAAATAATTATTTACTTAAATAGTTTAATGATAAATTTGTATTATACCTCAGTTATTTAAATAAATAAAAAGAGTCTATTTTTTTTAGGGAGCTAATTACTGCGGTTGGTAAAACCATCTAAAGCACCATAGATACTATCGATGGTTTTAAAACTATTTTTAGCTAAATAATTTAAATTAAAACAAGGCTGAACTTCTGTTAATTTATTAGCGCTTAAATATAGATCGATTTTTTTGGCATACGTGTTATGAATTAAACATTCATTTTCAATTTAATTTTGTTTTTATTTTTCTTAAGTTTTTGTTCCGATAGTATCGATAATATCGAAAGTGGAAAAATAGCGTAATTTTATAAATTTAGCTGGGATTCCACGAGAGTATGGGCATGCTTAAAAATATATTATCCTATTATAATCCCTTTTTCTTTAGTCAAGGTGATTTCAATGATTGGCTGTATCCAAATTATCGCAGTTTATCCGTAGCTTATTTGTCATCTTTATGAGGGATTTTTTCTGGTTACTAGAAGATTTTTATTAATTGAACGACTTTTGTTCTGTAGCAGGTTAGATTAACTTGAACTTAATTTTTCACAGATCAGATCAAGTCTGGGAAAACAGTTCCTTATAAGAGGAACTTGATGCCCTTAGTTGGTTTAAGTGAATGCTCCGTTAAATGTTTCGTTGTGACATTTTTTATATCATTACTCGCATTTTTCATTAGGTCCTAAGTCAATAATTTATCCTTTTTATGGCCGTTTTTTGCATCCGTTTGTTAAAATTAAAGAATTTTAATTTTAAAATATTTCGATTGCGGTTTTGGTATACTCGTTTTTGTAGTGCTAACACACAGGCGGAGTACAATTGAACTGCTCACGAATAAGTAAGACCTCTGTAACTGATTTAGGTCTTTGAGTTTCCCTATTGTTTTTCAAACAGGATTCGTAATGGAAAGTAGTTCGAGTATCCCGACACTCAGAGAGAAAAAAGTACGATATTTTCTACAAAAATAACCATTTTGATTCAAATATATGAGCTGAAAATGTAGAACGAAGAAATTGTTGCAATAAATTGGTCTTAAAACTTGTTTTCCGCTTGAATTTGTGGATTGTTTGCTAATTGAAGGAGCGTGGGAAATTCTTTAAATAGTCTGTCATTAAATGGATTCTATATTAAGTTCTTAGGTTCCCCCACATTGAAATTCCCTAGCGGACAGCTGGGTATTTTCCCTCGACGGCTACATGTGCTCCAACAACGAAAAGCAATTGAAAGCAATTTCACTTTTATTATTTAAGGAAAAATCCCCCAGAAATGTCGGCCACCCCGCCGCACTGTCATTTGTTTCGGCTAACCAATGATAAATGCGAATTTCTTTTTTCGCTTTCGTTTGCATTGAACTGGAAATATATTTTGACAGGCGAATGAATGTATAAATTACCGGTAAAATACACTTTTGAGAAAGCCAAACTCGACTCACCTGGCCATGTTGTGTCCTTGAAAGCTTTCTCCTTCAATGTGAGTTTGTTTGTCCTTGGTTGCGGTCGCAATTTCAGCTGAAATCAACATGCAGGATGATGATGATGGGGGTGCTCCTGGCTCCTAGTGCTCCTGTTACTGTTACTGTTCCTTATCCCTATACTTTGTCCCAATATCCAGATGAAAGCCACTCGGATCGTTTGTCCTTGTCTGGCGGCTCTGTTCCCCTCCTTTTTCTCAGCCTCAAATGGTTGATTGAGTTTGAGATTTATGCCTTAAGTGCTGCTGGGGGATTTGTTATCTTGTCCTTTTTGGCCTGGCCTATACGCATATCGTTTGTTTGCCTTGCTTTCTTTTCTGTGCCTCTGATTCCGCTGGAAATGGTAGAATAAAAACAGTTTTATAGTTGATGATGATGCACGTGATGATGATGATAATGATGATGCTCTGCGGTCTCCTTTTTGCTTTCAATTTACATAAGCAGCAGCATCATTAATATTGCAAATGTATATGTAGATGCACTAATAAAAATATTGGGATAGTATTAAAAAATATTCATTAAAATAGATTAGAAATATTTTTATAAAAACTTTAAAAAGATATTTTGGACATAAAACTATTTTTCCAAAAACATGTATTTATACTTTCGGATAATACCACTTTAATACTATTTTTCAATATATTTCAGAGCTCCCCAAATATGTTCTCGTTTTACAGGATGTCTGAGAAAAATTAGATACCTTAGTTGCTTGCGTTACTATTTAATGATTGAGTCTCCTTTATTAAGTTCTGAGGATTTTTCTCTGTGTTTGTGCGTGCCTGTTTTTGTTTGCTTTTGTGTTCGCTTTGAGCACTTCTGTAATTTCATTTCCATCCTTAACAAATTTAGCTTGTTGCAGACATTTATCATACGCCCTGTGTGCCATGCGTTCTTCCCACCATAAATCACTCACTTCTCCCCGAATCCTTCTCCCTTTTCGGGCTCTGGTCCCCCTGCTCAAAATAAAAATGACCAAATGCAATTATAATTCGCCATTCAAACAACTTTTAATGCCAACTGACAGCTGCCTAGAGTCTGCCCATCGATATCCATCGATGAGATTTTGCTGCTTGTTTTACACCCAAAAAAAACTCGATATGAATCGTAGGTCAATTTGACCTTTTTTAAGATCATTTTTAACTTGATATGGGGCCAGGTAAATGTGATATGGTCGACCAAAACTTATACTAGTGCGAGCGAGAAAACATGCTTTCGAAGTACGTCAGTTCGAATTTCGAATACGACTTTCTCTCTTCCACTCAAGTCATTTTGCTCGCCATATTGATTCTTGCGCTCTTTTTCGAAGTTAGAGAATCTTCGAGAGAGAGAATTCGGCAAAATGATATTATTTAATGTAAATTTTATGAATATTTCAGGTAAAAACGATATGAGTAGGAATAACCAGAAAATTACCTGGACTTATCGATTTTACGGCGACGTGCTTTTTTTTGTGTGTATGTTTTAGTCGAATGTTATGGATTGTGGTAAGATTGATTGTTTAGGCCGTATTGCCCAGCAAGTGGGGGATAGCTATAACTTTGATTGTTCTGATTCAGAACATGTACCACATACAGGCATTAAATGGGACAAGGATTAGAGTGAAAAAGTATTTTTCTGAATAATATTGAAATGTTGCTCAAACAATGTAATAATTTTAATTGACAGCGTGTTTGTTGCTACTATTATTATTGTGATAATTTTAGTAAAATGTTAAGCAGGTCAATAAATAATCCAACTGTGAGAACATTTCCTAGGGATTTTAAATCATCATTAATGACGCATGAATTATAAAGTCTCTAATAACTGCCGACGTCAGCTTGAGTATTTCCATTTATTTTTGGTAAGTCAGGCGGAAATACGGATGTATTAAGCAGCATACCATGAGATAATTTAAAGGCAAATCAATGTTTCAGCACTCGGAACAAGAGCAGGCCTCATATAAACAGAAGATGTGCCACATAAAGCCCAAAAAAACACGCCCATTACCAGAACTCTTTTATAGCTGCCCCGCCCCCCTTTTGGTGTCCCTCGGGGAAGGACTCGATAAGGGAGCTGCGGGAGGGGCGTGTATTATCAGCTGTTTCCCATTATGACTTCAGCGGAAATACACAAGCAAGTGGAAAACAGTCGAGGAAAAGCGGAAGCAGACAAAAAAAAACAGCCGCCACTGGCAATGCAAACACAGTAACACACTAAGACTCAAGCACAACAATCGCTTACACACGCAAACCGATAAAAATAAAAACAAAACCCATGGAACGAGAGGCAAAAATTGGAACTAAATGCGTATACGTAATGTGATAGAACCCACATAGAACCCCGTCCTACAATTCCGTCCATGAAAAGGGAACTACGGAGTGATAAAGCAGAAGGAAAAACAATGGCGACGTTGACGACGACTTGGCACTTCTCAAACAAACTAAAAATAAAGTCCAAAAATTAGAGACGAAGCTGAAAATACCTTTTTTGAGCTATGATGTCTACGAATTACTTGGGATATTCGACTTAACCCAATTTTAAATTGATTAGAGCAAAGCAAAGTTAAGAAGTTCTTAAGATATATTAGGGATATGTAGAATACAATCCCTACTTGAGTGCTTTTAGAATAGAATTGAAATTTATACAACATTTTTCTGGGTATTTATAACTAAGAATTTCCCATCCTTCTAAAATTGTAATACCCACGGTTAGGGTAAAGAAAAAGGCCAGCAAAGAGCAGAAACGAAGGGAAAGACAACTTTTCGTGGAAAGGCCGTGATAAAAATCGAAAACCAAGAAAAGCGAAAAACAAAAATGCTAGGAACCACACACACAAAGCTACTTAAGCCCCGACACATCGCACACATGCAAAGGAGAAAGGGGGAACCCCCTTGGCAGCTGCCATGGCAAACGAGCGAAAGAGACGGAAAGCGGGAGCGACAGGGACGGAGAGAAACAAACAGTGGGACACAGAGCTTGTCACTTTATTGAGCTCGATTTCAATGCACTGCCAACCCGACTGGGGCATATTAGTATGCAAAACTGATAATCAATAGGCGACGGACGACTCAATGCCCGACGCTCAGTGGAGATTATGGCGCAATTTGCATACGGGCATGTGCCAGTCGAAGATGTCGCCATTCTTATCCCGACAAACCGCCTGAATTGGCCCTGCAAATACCCCCAACAAAGGACCAACTGCAGTCGGTGTCGTTTAATTGAGTCAGACCATCGCAATTGGCCCACTCATCCGCTAACTGACAACACACTAATGTTTAATGTTGTGTAGAGCTCGTTTTTTTGCCTTCCCTAATTGAAATACGCGGAACACTAAAAAGCTTTCAGTACAACTTTTTCTGTACCAATGGAATGTTAGATCAAAGTTTCGAAACTAGAGGGAAGTGTCTAATAAACTACAGGAACAGTTCTATTCGCTTTGTTTTTAAAGGTTTCAATTCTCTCTGTTAAATTAGCAAATTACATATTCTTTTAAAATACTAGAATGCAAAAAATACAAGTATAAAGTCAAATTATTAATTCAAATTAATTTTTCTTTTCAGAGGCAACATTTTCCCTGAACACGTTTCAAGAAGAGGAAATACACATTTATTTATCAACAGCTGCAGAAGAATTTCTATATCTATTGCTTTCTTAATATTTATGAAATGTGTGCAGGATATAACATAAATATGAAAGGCCATACCTTTTTTCATCGCTACCTTACGACCTTTTCCGTGAAATTTTCAATAACTCTCTGGGGGTTTTATGGCCGCAATTTGCAATTTATCATCAATTTGATGTGCAAGGGGCCGAACATAAAAGTTGTCCAAATGGTGAGTGTAACAAAGGCCAATAAAAGCGGCTATGGGTTAACCGGGCGACTGACTATCCCCCAACCATATCCATAAGCGTAACATTTGCTTTTGCGATGATTTCTGGTCAGAAGCTGCCTGCATTCACCTGAAATTCTGAGTCAAATGCACCTGCTGCTTCTACACTAAGAACAAAATCATCTTTGGCAAACCCATAAATATTTATATGTTTGTGTAGCAGAATGACTATTATTGACAGAAATGAATCATTTAAATTCTAAGCAGTTTGTTTGTGATAAAATGGTTTACTTGGCTAATGGTAAACATTGAAGTGATAAGTCAAAAGATAGATACTTAATATTTTTTCAAGACATATATTTCTATTTGTACTCAAATGATTTAATTGGATTGATTCTGAATAGTCTTAAAAAATATCTCACTTGATTGAGAAAGGATTAGAAATGGTTATTATTAATCCTTTTCTCCGAGTGTTTCTGGGATGTCTCCTTAGGGGGAATAACAAAAACTATACCATACTTATGGGCCGCTTTGAGAGTTGCCATAAGACGCTTAATAACTGTGAGTAGTGGCAAGCAGGGGCGCAGGGCGGGGGGCGTGGCAAGGACATGGACGGCGAACTGAGGGTCCTCCGTCCGATGTATGTACGTGCCAATGGCCGTAGTCGCAGTAATAAACACACGCACAGCCCAGTTAACACAGAAATATGCCCCAAGTGTCAGGGCGGGCAAAACATGCGATGATGAGTGGGGAAAAGCGGCGGGGAAAGCCCAAGGAAATGGGAAATGGATTTTCAGTGGCCTTTTGTTTTTGTTGTTTTGTGTTTCATTCTTGTTTTTCTTTTTATACCCTTGTAGAGGGTATTATAATTTCAGTCAGATGTTTGCAACGCAGTGAAGGAGACGTTTCCGACCACATAAAGTATATATATTCTTGATCAGCACCAATAGCCGAGTCTATCTAGCCATGTCCGTCTGTCCGTCTGTCCGTTTCTATGCGAACTAGTCTCTCAGTTTTAAAGCTATCGCGATGAAACTTTCCCGAAGGTCTTCTTTCTATTGCAGGTAGTACATATGTCGGAGCCAGCCGGATCGGACCACTATATCTTAAGGCTCCCAAACAAATATAAGAAAAGTCATTGTAACTTTGTAGGAAGTAGGCGTTTTGATTCTTGACTACTTAAAAACAAAATTGAAATAAATCGAAACGCTGAATTTGGAATCCCTGGAACTGCACCGAGTGAGTATTCTTTTATCTACAAGGGTATATAAGCTTCGGCTGGCCGAAGGTAGCTTCCTTTCTTGTTCTTTGTTTTTTTTTTGTGTTTTATAATTACTCTGATAGAGCTGGTTTTTCTGTGAATGTGTGTTTCTGTGTTATGGTAAGCACACATAACGGTAATTTAATTAACATACATAAACACACGCACACACAACAATATAAGAGAATGTGGCACACAAAGAAAGGTGAAAGGTCAGGGGGAGGGGTAGGGGGAAATTCTTTGGGGCACTTACAAATCGTTTTCACAAACTTTTCGTTATTTTTGTAATCGATATTTAACTGGGGGTTTAACGCGATTTAAGTTTAGACATTTATAACTTCCAAAAGCACTTGATATTTTTAATTATTTGGAATAATTTTGATTATTGATTTGATCAACAAGCGGACACAAACTTATGCTATATTTCTTGGATATATATTCTATATGATAATTTAACTATTTATTTTGGGAGCTGTGTTTACAGCTGTGTTTTTTATGGCTATTTTGTTGTGTTTATTCTGTTGTGGTTTGCCGCCGGATATTGCACGTTTTGCCACCACTTCCGTTTCCTGCTGTGCGAGCGAAGCCAACCGTCGAGAAACGCGTTCCGCAAGCGAATAAACAAAAGGACTTCCACCGCATTTTCCTCGCATTTCCACGGCCAGTGTTGCCGTGCTGCAAGTCCTGCGCAGTGCGAAATTGAGAGAGATTTCTGAAGGGAAAGTGGCTCTCTGTCTCTCTTTAAAATGCAACCTGCTGACGGAACATCTGTGTTTTTGTTATTATGCTTTCGTCAGCAGCAAAAGCAACAACTGCAGCCATTCAATTGCAATTGCAGTGACTGAACATACAGGTATTTCAATTACACTCGCTCCTACCTTGGGGTCACCGAAAATAACTGCCGACTAATTGATGGCCCACAAAGGGTTTACGAGCTTATTCTTGATTGATATTAAACGCATTTCAGAGCTACAGAGAAATGAAATAGGGGTAGTTCAAATTGCGAAATCGGTGTATTAATATTACATATAAAATCCACCTTTATAGATAGAAAACAGGAAACTTTTTAGTAATAGAAAACATTGATAAGTTATGTTTAAAAAAAAAATAAAAAACAAATTAAATTCTTACTAATAAGTAAGAAATATTTATCAATAATAAAATGTACACTGTACATTAAACATCTTTAAAACATTTTTTTTTTAATGTTGTCTAACCATTTGTTTACTTTATCGTTCTATTCGTGGTAAACATTTTGTTTGCTGTCGCCTATAAAATTAAATCCATAATCTATTCACAAGAGAAAACTTATATTTAAAAACTTATTATTTTTTTATAATTAACGATGACATCATAACAATTTACACCGAACGATAATTTTTTAAGAAATCCATACCACAGTTTTTGTTCCGAACATAAATGTATGGGTAGGACAGCTCAAGTACGAAGCCTTTTTTGCAGAACGATTTGCACACAAATGCAGGGAGGAGTATCTGTGTGGATTTTGTGCCTCGTCGACGGCTGCCTAATGTCAAGGTTTTTTGGCTGCTGTTTAAAGTCCAGCAGCAGCAGGAAAAGCGGAAAAGCAGGAAAGGCAGAAACAGCCGAAAGAGCACGGCACGTGGCCAACATACCAAAGGGGAGGGGGTCGAAATGGGGGTCGATTATGCCATTACCAGGCCAATCCTGCACTTGCCCCTCGGAACAAACCTCCCCCTACCCTGCCCCCTGCCGTTGCCCCGCATGAATGAGCAAAAATGTCGCGACAAACCCGATTCGAAAGCCAATGTCAAGTGCACGAGGCAGCAAGGATATGCAGGCAAAAGCACTTTACAAGCATGATACCCCACGTACCCCTTTTTAACTACACCTCTGCCCACAGTAGAGCTTCCATAAATCAAACCATGCACTTAAGTAGCTTTCTTAGCTTTTTTTATAGTACATTTTTTTTTTAATAGATCTTAACAATTTCAATTTTAAGAAAAATGCTTAAATAATAGATGAATTAAAACTAAAAGTGGCATGCTCCAAGTAAATTGAAGAATAATAAGCTTAATCGATTTACAAAATTGAAAATTATAAATTTCGCCCCTTCTTTTTTTGTCGACATGTAAAATACAAGGTTGAAATTCGATATAGACAAGTCCGACCGTAACTCCGCATTAGGACGGTCGCTCTTGTGACCCGCAAATTTGATGGCACACTCACGTAAATGTATATCTATATTTTATATGTCATCGATTGCCAGCCAATTTTCCCCCTTTTCCGCCTTATTTCCTCACACACGAAGAGGGTTTCATGCATGATGACCCCGGCAGGACATAAAGCAACAAATACCTCAGGCAAATTCCACTTAGGCACCAATTAGACTACCACCAATTATGCGTATAATATTTGCTATTATTAAACATCAAGTGCAATTTTAATTACCTTGTTAATTATGAACAATGTATATCACCAAGTTTACACTAGATTGGAGTTATCTAAAGACCTTAAAGCGCGTTAAATTGTTTACGTTCATCAATAAACTTTTAAAGGTATAACAACGGAGGGCACTATCGAACGCTACCTCGACTATTATATATACATATATATACTATACTCAGCTTAAGAAAGTGCGAAGGAGAATTGCCAGCTGTAGAGCGACACTGCTTGCAGGCTTGCCACATAACGGTCATTTCATTATTTGCTCAATGAATGATCCAATTTAAGAATATAATCCAAACAAATTTGACTTTAAGGTCGTTTAATGCGATTTTGTAGTACCGCCTAATGATACTGATCAAGAATATATATACTTTATACGGTCGGTTCCGACAGCAAGCACAGTAGGTTGGCCGACCCCAGTTGCAGCATCATGCCTAATGTTTTCCAATGGGAACAAGCAACATGGGGCCTAATCAGCAACAGCTCCCTCTACAGCAACAAAAAACACAATTGATCGACTAGAGCTTCCTAAGATCTGAAGAATAACTGTTAGTCCGTGTTGCCCGTGTCGTCAAGATATTCGAGATGATGATGTCATTGATATTCCTTATAACCAAGATATTACCCCAAATAGCGCCAGGATCTAATCAAGCAGTTTCTGGTTTCCTCTTTGCTCTTACAGTCCAACCGTGAGTCAAATTGGACCTGGAAATCCAGATTTATGCGTTCACGAGATCCTGCGGACAAAAAAGAATATCGTCGAGCTGTGGACGATCTTAAGAAGCTCCTGCAAAAAACGTAGAGTGAATACTCCACCGATTTGTTCCACAATGCTGACCCCACAAAACCTTACGGATTTAACCTTTGGAGGGCAACAAGAAATATAAAAAGACAGCCTCCCCGCCGAATCCCAATAAAGGGTTCTGACAACACAGGGTGCAGATCTAACTCCGAACCTCGAAGGCGTTTGCTAATGAATTAGATGGACGCTTTTGGCCATTTAATCTAGCAAGGTTTGAAGACGTCGAAGACACTATAGCATTTCATTCCTGAAAGCATCCTCCCCAGCTATCGAACCTATTCTTTAAGTGAGTCCGGAAGAGATTTGTCTTCAATTTCAAAAGCTGCATCGCAGCAAAGCTTCAGTATTCGCCGGAGTTATCTACGAAAGGAATTCTCCTTATAGTACTCCTCTTTAACTCCATCTTACGTATCCACCACTTTCCCACCTATCGGAAGTGTGATACCCAAACCAGGTAAGCTGTCCTATAGACCAATAAGTTTGCTCCCACATTCTCTGAAATATTGCAAAGAATTTTTTTTAGCAGCACGATGGCAGTAAGAAAAGAATAGATTGCTTTCCTCACCAGTTTGGCTTTAGAAGACACTGACCGGCCAAATCTTCGAGATCTGGATACTGTCTGGCGACGTATGTTGACAATACTGCCTTTATTTCTAATTCTGCATATCGAATCGAAGCGACCCGAATGTTCCAAAACTTCTTAATCCTGTATAGCGAATGGACGACCAGATGGATCATTTCTATTAGCGGAAAAAAGTCTTAGCACTGCAACTTCTCCCTCTAATAACTCAAATCCATCCCAGGGTTAAATTCCAGGACACTGTCAGCCCGCAATCCTTCCAGGCCCAGTATTTGAAATTGATTTTGGACAAACAACTTACGAGGAGGCAGCCCTGAACAAAGTCACTGGAACATGCCGTGCCAAACTAAAAAAGATTGCTGGATGATTAGAGAAAGAAGTACAATCTGCCTCAGCAATAGAGACCTGCACGATACGATGTCGATTCCACGAGTAAAAGTAATCAAGTTGGCCACTATACTCGGCATCGTAGAATCGTACGAGTAGCAACGCCAAAAAATTCCAAATTTGACATTTCAAAATAAATTTACTGAAATTTCCTCTTCTAAAATTTCTTTTTTAGAATACACAAATCCATACGTGTTATGGATATGGTCCTTTAATGGTTCTTCTTTTTCCAACGAATTTGCGGTCTCATTTTGGTCAAGATTTCGTGCATGTGGGGTTCCAAGACGGTGAAACATAAAAAAACCCTCTTGTTCTAAAGAATTCGCGGTTTCATATTGTTAAAGAGTTAATCTATGATCTTAGGTGGATAAGAATTACAATTGTGATATCTTGGTCTATATTGGTTCCTCTTGTTCTAACAAGAATTTTGGTTGATTTTGTTTAATAAAAAAACAATAGTAAAACGATGCCGATGCCTACGATGCCACGATGCTAGACTTGACAGTTGGAATCGGCGTCGCCTAGTAGTAATCAAGTATATTTTTACTTACTCGTGCAGGTCTCCAATATATATATTTTATAGGGTCGGAAATGCGGATTTAATATCCGATGTCCAGTAATCAATAGCAATGCAGAGGCAGGCAAATGTTCCACACGACCGAAAACGACAAGAACTAATGCAAAAGTACAATCAATATTTTCCGCATTTGATGTTTATTCAATGTTGTATATTGTTTCTTGTAAGTTTTAAACTTAATTAATAGTGAAAAACTAATGTGAAGAAAATACAATTGTGTTTTTTCGTTACTGACTGACTCTTAGCTGCAGAGGACTGGCTGCTTGACGTAATTATTTATTTCCTTTAAGAATTCCTTCGAAAATCTCTTTAAAACTTAAAACTAAACTCATAATTCAGGATAATTTCGAGAGACGAAGTACTGTCGCTATCGAAACTAATACGTTATAAAAGCATAAATAAATTACATGTGGGTCACTAAAGCTACAGTCTACACCTAAGGAAGAGGCCAGGCCAATGGGCACCGAAATCCATTTACGACCATGTCTTGGGAACACTGAACGGTCCGAATCGCTGGTGCTTGTCTACGCCCCTCACCGCGAAATAATACCGCTGGTTTTCCTGGAACTGATTTAGCGTTACGGCCATGGGCAGCAGCATTGCATTGACATCGCCCACGTGCCGCCAACTGTCCGTACTTGGCTCGTGGATCGTCTCTTGGTACGCATAGATCTGGTATGTTACACAGTCGGCGAACCGCGGGCTAGTATCTTCGAGCGTCCAGGAGATGACGATGCCGGTGTCCAGCAGATTGATCCGGATTACGGGGCGAGAAGGAGGCACTTTCCAGGCGGGATTGAATGGCTGGGCAGGAGACGAGGGCAACGGAGCAGGATGAGAGTATCTCAAACGAGAGGCAGCCGGCGGGGTATTCTCCGAGCGGATCTGCATGGTTACGTTTGAGCCTAGGGAACTTCGCTGACCTGTGGATCGAGTTTATTAATTAGTAGGGAATTTCTGATAGCAATACAGTGATTCGAACTAACCTCCTCCATTATTCTGGACAATTTGTCGGGCATTAACGCGTCCCAATTGCATTGGAGACGCTCGCACCACACTGGCGCCTCCACGACCTCCTCTCGTCGCCGCTGCAGCCTGAGCATTCCGCTTGACCGCCGCATTGGATGCCTGGCGCAGACGAGCGTTCGCCTCAATTTGTGCCTGCACAGCCTTCGCGGCGGCCGCCGCCGCTGCATCATCCTCGTCTGTCAGGTCGATGACCGCCTTATCCTTGGGCTTGGCCGGCGCCAAGCTGGGCTGCTGCTGCTGGCCATAGCCCACAGTTCCCGCTCCACTGCCGCCGGCAGATGACATTGGCACAGAGACCGTGGCCCCAGAAAGCGGCGGCTGCTGCTGGGCGCGCACTTTCGTTGTGCACTTGGGAGCCTGTTTGGTCGGAGTCGCACTTGGCGTGGAACCAGGACCAGGACGAGGTCTGCAATGGGATACAATTGTAGGTTAGTAAAATCAAAATAAAACAGGAGACAACGCTATAGTCGAGTAGCGGCCATTTCAATTTTTTATACCCTTGCAGAGATTATTATGATTTCAGTCAGAAGTTTGCAACGCAGTAAAGGAGACGTTTCCAACCCCATAAAGTATATATATTCTTGCTCAGCATCACTAGAAGAGTCGATCTAGCCATGTCCGTCTGTCCGTCTGTCTGTTTCTACGCAAACTAGTCTCTCAGTTTTTGTGCTATCTTAATGAAACTTTCCCAAAAGTCTTCTTTCTATTGCAGGTAGTATATAAGTCGGAACCGACCGGATCGGACAACTATATCTTATAGCTCCCATAGGAAGGATCGGAAAAAAACGTTAAAAAAAATTCTAGCTTCGGTGTTTTTTCAAATATTACCTTCTACTCTTGGGAAAATTATTTTTTATATATTTCTAAATTTCGAATTAAATATTTAAAAAATCGAATCACTATATCGTATAGCTGCCATAGGAACGGTCGAAAAATGAAATGGAAATTAATAGGAAAAAATGATATCTTTGTTGACTTTTATTACATTCTCTTCTACTTTGGGATATGACTATTTTTAAATATTTCCGAATTTCGATTTTAATTTTATAAAGATCAAACTACTATATCATATGGCTGCCATAGAAACGATCGAAGAATTAATGTGAAATAATAGGAAATTTAACCTGTTTGCGATTTGTAAATTAATAGAATGATCTGCAAGGGTATATAAGCTTCGGCTTGCCGAAGCTAGCTTTCTTTCTTGTTTGCACATAAGATTAAAATGTACTCACGTTTGGTACTGTTGCTGCTGCTGCTGCTGCTGTTGTTGCTGCTGCTGTTGCTGCTGTTTCTGGGACACGTAGGCGGGGGCAGAGTTCCGGTTCCGCATGGCGGCCTTGGCCACCGAAGCCGCCATGGAGGCAGTGGTTCCGGTGTGCTTGGAGGCGTGCATGGTCCTCTGGCCACTGGGCGGTGAGGTCTGCAGGCGGTGAACGTTGGCCTGATTGTTGATCTGTGGCACGGGCAGGATGTTACCGGGTCCCGGTCGCTGGGGCGTGACCTTCTGCAGGCAGCCCCTGCGAACAGGGGGCGTGGGCGTGGTCGCTGCTGCCGGGGATTGAGATGAGTTGGCGGTGGAACGCGCTGGCTGCTGCTGGGAATTGGGACTCGGAGTGACCGGACCCGCACCGGCTGAGCTTGAGGAGGGTCCGAAGGCAGGTGGTGGCGGCCTGGCTCGCATGGGCGAGCGCATCGGAGATGTGCTGGCCTTGGGAGGTGTTCCGCTGGGCGGCGCCAACATACTGCCTGCAGCATGCGGCTGATCCGGAGCAGCGACCGTGGGCTTCATGGCCTTGAACGGAATGCCCACCTGAAGGCCAACCGCTCGCGTTATTCGCACAGGAGCAGTGAAGTGCGAATTCTTGGCCTCCAGATCCTTGAGCACCCGCTTGTGCACCGTCTCCAAGTCGAGGAACTGCTTTGAAACCTCGGCAATCTTGCGACGGTACGTGGTCAGGGTGTTCTCGCATTTATCCAGCTGCATACGGATTTCGGCGAAGTCACTTTTGACCAGCATCGCCTCGACGACCTTCTGCAGCACCAGCTCCTCGAGATCATCGCGGGACATTGTGTCGATGCTGCGGCGGAATGCCTTGAAGAACTCCAAGCGCAGCGGCTTAACATCCTTTTTAATTTCCGGGGCAGGCTTGAGCGCTGGCTTGGGTTTCTCTTCGTCCTCTGCTTTCTTTATCTCCACCTTGTCATCCTGGCCACCCATATCGATTTGGAGCGTGCCATCGCTAGAGCTGTTCGATTCCAGGTCTTCAGTCTTAGGTTTCTTATTGGGAATCTCCCCCTCCCGGTCCGGAGTGTTATCCAGGTGATCATGGCTCCGCTTGGTAATGTCCTTCTTGTCTTCCTCCGCGCCGATGGGCTTTGGGGGTGTTTCTAGTTCAGTCTCCAGTTCTGGGTCCATTTTCTCATCGGTGCTGAGGCGCACCCGTTTCGCTGCCGACTCCTCGGAGTCCTCGGCGGGCCGCAACAGATTACTGGAATTACTGTTTCCATCCTCCATGGCAGTGGACTTAACCTTGTTGTGGGTCTTCAGTTTCTCAAACTGATCGCACGCATTGTCGGAATTGTCCATTTGCAGGTCCTTGTCTCCAATTGATTCTGCCGTGGAATCATTGGCAAGTCCTTTGGTAGACGCTTCCTTCGCGGAACTTTGAAGGACTTCCTTTTCAATTTCCTTTCCCTGCGGTTCTTCGTCCTCATCCTCGGAGACAAGGACAACTTCGTCGTCCTTCGCTTGAGGTTTTTCGGGCTCTTCATTCGTTGACTCTGCGGCACTCGTACCCTTTTCGGTCTTATCGAGGGGCTCAAAGAAAATTACTTCGTCATCGGACTCCGTCTCTTTGGCTTCCTTTTCAACAGCCTGTTTCTCAGTAGCCAAATCCTTTTTATGGTCATCGGATGGCTCTTCGCATGTGCCATTTACCTTGGGTTCCTTATCATTTTCTGATATAACCATGGGTTCATTATCTGGTACTTTATCTTTCTTGCTACCAACGGCTTCAGTGTCCGCCTCCATTAGCAAATCGTCTATCGTGGTGTCGTTCATTTCCTGGGTTTGAGTTCGAAACTCCACCTCCATTTGGCTCGCCTTTTTGGAATCCGTTTCTGATTCTTCGGGCTCGACTACCATGGGCTCTTCTGTTGGCTTGGCCTCTTCTAGCTCTTCTAGATCCTTTTCGTCTTCGGGTTTTTTTGCTTCCTTTTCTGGCAGCTCTTCCGACGTTTCTGTCACCTCGGCCTCTTCTGTTACTTTGGCTTCTTCCCCCTTCTCTGTTACCTTTCCAATGTCCTCCGTTTCCCCAACGTCCCCTGACTCTTCTGTTTCCTTGACCTCTTCCGGTTCTTCCGCTTCCTTGGCCTTTTTGGGCTCTTCTGTTTGCTTGTCCTCTGGCAGTTCTTCTGCTTTATTGGACTCTTCTTGCTCCTCGACTAACATGGGCTCATCGGCCTCGAATAGCAGTGAGTCTTCTGCCTCTTCGGTTACCTTCTGCTCCTCGTCTTCAATTGACGCCGACTCCGTGGGTCTATCAACTTCTGTCAACTTTTCTTCTCCTTCGTTAGTTTGAACAGGCTCATCTTCTGAGATATCCTCTTCAACAGTCTTTGTGTCCTGCGTTGAGCCTTTCTCAATAGTAACTCCGCTGGTATCTTCTCCTTCGGCAACCGACTCCTCGACCTCCGTTGGCGTTTCGCATACCACACACTCGTCCGACGAGTCTAAATCTATGATGTCCGCCTTGGGTTTCTCTGGTTTATCAACTTTCTCGTCCTTAAGGATATCATCATCATCGGACGAAATCTCTTCGAGATCGTTGGCAGCTTGTTTATCCTCGGTGTCGAGATCTTTGATTAGCTTGGCCTTCTTGGAGTCGTGGGAAGCGATGGCGTCAAACTCATCGGAACTGGAAATACTGTCTAGCGCATCCATAAACACATCATCCGTGGAGGTGTTTACTTTTGCCCGGACTCCTTCATCGTTATTCACAGCATGTGGTTTGGCCTCTTCTTTTTCTTCCGATTTCTCTTTGCCGTCTGTTACTTTTCCAATGCTTTCTTCGTCCAGCTCAGCCAAATCAGCGATTTGCTCTGTGGATTCTTTAGCTGGAGTGGATTCTTCGATGCTCTCCACTTTGGCTTTCTCCTCAGTCTCAAGCTCGGAATCCGGCTCCACGCGCACTTTACTTTCTATTGATTCCGATACCTCTCCTTCTTCTACCTCTTCTTCTTTTTGCTCAGCCTGCTTTTCATCCGTCTCAGCAGCTGGTTGTTTCTCCTTCGTTGACGCAGAGTCGCTTTCATCGTTCTTATCGAATGCCTCCAGATCATCGGAATTCCTGGGACTAGAGTCTACAATGGAGCTAATCTTGTCCAGCAGGGCATCCAAATCACTTCCCGCATTGCGTTCCTGTTCCGATCGACTTATCGATTTGCTATCGGAGTTATCGACTCCATTGGGCAACTCACATAGGTCATCTTCATCCCCGGACGTTCGGCTCGATTCGTTGACCATTGCTGTAATTTAAATATGGATATACCCAAATCGTAGTTATCCATTTAAACAATTCGCACTTACCAGGGGTGGAGAGGGGTTCTACTTCACTGGCGAGGTCTGATGACAGAGTTCGCATTAAAGCGCCCTCTGTGGAGAGTTCCTTCAGATCCATTTTCTGGCTTACTTCCATCATTTTTATATTTTTGTATTAATCAAACTATTCCGAAATCATTGAACTGCTGAAAGAAAGTAAAACCTAGTTTTAGTATTTGACGGTTTGTGACAACTCTGGCGATGACATGGCAACCCTGTTAAAATCAATGTTCGACGCGAGTACTAAACTCAATAAACCAATACCCCAAGACCCCCTCCTGTTTTTTAAGAGATTAACAGTCTGGTTTTAGGACTGATATAAATGAAAAAACATTAAGTACAATGGCATGGCACACCACATGCTCGCATTAAAAAAAAATTCTCCTAAAATATAGGGAGCTTTCAGAAGAAAGCTTTCCAAAAGCTTCAGTCATAGTTTTCGCTTCTTAAAATTAGAAAATAATAACTTGGGAATTATACTATTTAAGCGAGTCTTAGGCAGATGAATTTTTTTTTCCATTTCGGACTGCTACGAAACCCTTAAGCCCCTATCTCGAATTCATTCAAAACCATTTCCTAACACTGATATAAGCGGAACCCGTACACCGGGATTATCATCAGATATGTTATGATGTTAATGTTAGACAGTGGTCCGATCCGAAAACTCCAAAACCAGAAACATAACTCAATACCAACAGCTTTTTTTGTTTCTTTTTTCGGACTCGATTAGGTGTGTATCTACCTATAGTCTAACCATGTGTTGTTGTTTTGTTGTTGGTTGTCCCAAGCGGTCGTCGCTTTCCGAACGCAACAATAACAACAACACGACTGCAGCGAAAAGACTAAAGCAAAGCGACGATAAATATTCGTGCAAAGGGAAGAAATGCGTGACGAAAGGTGCAAAAAAGAGAGAAATTGACCTGCTACCTACAACAAAATATTCCAAGACGATTGTTATACATTTGCATATGACATTTCACTAACAAAAGTGAGGTTATGATGAGTTAGTTGGATTTTTAAGCGTTTATAGACGTGCAAATATATTTGTAATAGTATTTGGAGGTGACTTACAAGTTTAAACGTCCTAGTACACGGTTTCCTATTTATTTCGATTTAGCTACACTTGGAGAAATGAAAATTACTTGAGCTTCTTGCCGCGTTCCAAGCGAAAATGAACGAGGTGAACGCCAGACCAGCTGACGTTGAACGAAATGAGAGCGAGAGAGCAAACAGCTGAGAGCGGTAAAAGCGAGAGGGGCGTACGGGAAAGTGGCAGGGAGATAGCCGGCAGGAGGGCGTGTCTCGGGATGATATGATAAGATTCGGTAATGAAATTCTACCCGAAGTCCAAGGAAATCACTTTTCCCACCTCGAACTTTGCCTTTCCCAGCAAGTAGGGCAAAGTAATAGTCGTCAATACTCCAATTCTCTCTAGCAAGTTGGCAGTTCTCTTTGGTATGGCAGTAATTTATAACAATATATTTAAAAACAAAAGAGGGATGGTTTAGAAACCGAACTTAAGCAAGAGGGGATCTTCGTAAAATCAAAACAATGTTTGATAACAACGCAAAAAGCAAAACGTGTAATAATAGCGCAAATAGAACGCGTTTTGTTGCTCGCGAGCGGGAGGGTGAGACGCGAACATAGGCTGTTAGAGCGAGACGACTGTATGGTGATTACCTAAAGAGGGGGCATATTTTAAGTAAAGATAGTTAATGGTCCTATGAATTCCTCAGCCCAACTAAGGCCTTAACCAAGATTAATTAAAAGCATAATTTGATAGCGGGTGGGGGGAGGGGGGGTTGAGTTGGGAAGTGGGGCACTTACATATATGCAGAAGGAAGTAGGTAAAGATTGGAACTAAACCAAACCTAAAAAGTCACCTTGCAGGATACAAATCTTTCCAAACTTTCAGAACTTAGAAGACAGAGTCCGTCCGTCTGGTCTTTCCGATATGCACTTAGGACCTTGGCAGGATACCGGTTTCGCATAGAGTTGCGGAGCGAGCGGGACGGAAAGAGAGAGCGGACGGAGAGCAATTGCGAGAGAGAGCAAGATGACATATATATATACACGTGGCTATATATATTTGTCTGTATGTAGAAATTGAATAAAGTTCGCGTAGCGCCGAATACCTCACGACAAAGATACAGCAGCATGGCAAAAAGCAACAACTATAACAGAAAGCAAACGACAATTGAGGCGATGTTACGCTATATCTGCTGGTCGAAAGCTATACCCGGGATATGAACTCTATTTTGGGAGTTGGTCCTACGAGCTAGGGTTACTGCTAATCAGGGGATTACGGGTTCCGATAATTTTTTTTATAGATTCCTTTCCCGTAAGCATGTATGCATGTACATATGTATGTATGCACATGCACATGCACAAAAATGTAAATGATGATAAATTCACCTTTTGTTTTTTGCACTCAAAAGTAACTGAAGTAACTGAAGTATCGCCTTAAAAGAACGATTTTGTTATTAAACCCGCAACGGGCGTTATGTCTATTATAGCCGTCTCATTCTCCCTCTCTCTCTCTCTCTCACACACTCACACTAGTGCGCCCGTTTTAGCAACGGTACATCCGTGTGAGTTTGTATGTATATCAGAATGTGTATGTGTGCGATTTTGCAACGCGTTCACATTCTTTTTAGGTTACGTATTGATTTTGATGCAAAGTGAGGTTAGGTCGAAAAACATCCAAGTTTTTGGATATTTTACGGAACCAAGGACATTTTTGAAATCCCCTCAGCGCCCTCTACAGTTTTCTGATATTCGATTTTCCATAGAGACAAATCCCCGAAAAAACTAAAACCAGCAAGCTACAAGCGAAAGCAAAAGCAAAACGGGGCAACGTTTTTATTCACCTATTGTACAATTTTATGTTTTCAGGGTTGTCAGGTTTGCAATATTATTGAGCTATATCTTTTATAAAACACAATATGTCCTAGTCAGCACAACTGAAATGCAATTAATTACATAATTGTGACCTTGCTGCCGAGTAGGGTTGCCACCGGCAGGTCATATGTTTTATGCCGCTATAGCATTGTAGCCAGTCGGCACGTGGATATAGCAATCGTTTAGTCTTCATTTCATCAAAGCCCTATATCCAGATATATATCAGATTTCATATAAGTTATGCGAATCGCAACCACCTGACAACCCTGAAAACACAAATGTCTTGAAAGAGACTCGAACCATATCTGACGTACATATGGTACCCAGCCCAAATCAAAAAAAGTTAAAAAACCCTTAAACTAAACCCAATTACCAAGTAAAACATTCGTTTAGATAAATAAAGAGCAAATATATTACACTCTGTTTTGTATAGAATATAAATAAAGCAGTTTAATGAAAAAAAATTGTACTTACCTTCCTACGACTCGATAAACTCGTTTATTAACTGATGTAGTCACGAAAAATATTGGAATATGACATAACCCACGTCTACAACTGTCAATTGTCAATGATTTGAATGAATTTAACAGTTTTTTTGTGATTTGTTTACAATTTGCAGGCAAATCCGCTTCCGATGCCCTTAAACGATGAAGAATGAAACACAGACTAAAATCGGACAACAACAAAAGGTGCCGAAAAGAACCAGTCCAGGCACAACTGGTTCCGAATAGTGGCGCCCGGATTGCCACCGAGGGGCATGTCGAATAGCGGTGAGTGCGTGAGCGGGATTTTAGATACAATTTAGAAATCTCGTGTTTTTAAGTGACATTGTAAGGGTTTTGAGTAGCGCTTTAGTGTCAGCTGGAAAATGTTAAGACTCAAGTCTTTGTAGATTTTTATTGGTGGGAGTAAAGATCCCGGATCTACGAATTTTTCCTGAACCATTTAAAATACGATATATAAATGTTCACTGTAATAGCCTAGCACTATATATATTACCGGAAAAATACAAAAATGATCTGGAAATCAAAAGTTTTAGCAAATTTTAAAAATTCTATACAAATTAAAGTTTTTAAGAAATCATTTTTATATTCATAAAAAAAAATTTCGTGCTCGTTGGACACGTGCCCATCTCTGATTTGGAACCAGAAAGCATCTAGGGGTGAAGACAATGAATTTTTATTACTGAGCGGAACTAGTAGCTATTAAATGGAACTAAGACCTGATCGCGCCTTTTAATTTTTACAGGCTTTAAGCACAATTTCTAGGCAAAGTGTATGGAATTTGTTTAAATAAAGAAGTTTGCCAACTAGATTGCTTTCTTTTCAGTATAGAAATCATACCGCGTTCATATATAGACAAAACTTGGCGAACTTGTTTGGTGAACCAGGAAGAGCCATCCCTGTGGAACCGGTTCCGACTCCGGAACTTGTGAACCCATGGCAAGTGGAACAAAATGTAAACATCTGTAGATTGTAGGTTAAATTGTTTTATAATAACAAATGCAGGAAGTTTTCAATTAAGATGAGCAACCTGCTAAACTTCGCCCTGCGCCAGGGCGCCAATTCCCTTAAGCGAATTAGTCTTCAGAGTTTCAGGCTGGCAGTTCCGGCTATTGTTAGCAAATCGCCGGTTAGTTCCACGATAAAGAAGTTTTCCTCCCAAACGGCGCCCTTCGATGTGAGCACCAGTGTCCCCAAGGATATAATACTCTTCAAATATGAGAACCCGCGATTCTACACGATGCTGAACTTTTTCGGGATCTGTCAGTTTATTTTCTGGACATATCTCTCACATTTCGCCTTTACGACGCTCAAAGATGCTCCGGTGGTGGAGAAACCCGGAGAGGATCTCAAGTGGTTCCAGCGAATAAATCTGGGCGACAATAAGTACAGAAACGGCATCACAGCCTGCAGCTTCCTGATAGGTGAGCCCGTAGGACTATTGATATCTTCAACTTCCCATCTAAAACTTAACGAACCTCCTAGGATATGGCATTCTGTTTGCTGTCTGGATGTTCACCCTTCGCTCGGTTCGCTTTCTCATCTTGAGGAAGGGCGGTCAAAGCGTTTCCTTTGTGACGTACGGACCATTCAACCGAAACCGTATTATGACTGTGCCTTTGAAGTGTGTCTCCGCCGAGGAATCCCGAAACTTGGCCAGGGTGCAACTGCCCATCAAGGTCAAGGGCAAGACACTGTACTATGTTTTGGATATGCGCGGCGAGTTCCGGAATCCCCAATTGTTCGATTATACAGCTGGCTTGAAGCGCCGCATTTAAACGCGTAGTTGTTGGATTTTGTAACTTATTATTTGTAAATAAAGATGTACACTAATTAAAATTAAACGCGGGCCTAGTAGATGGGCTCTGGTTTCTGGGTGAGGAGCAGTCCAAAGCGCTTCTTGATGGTGATCCTCTGGCGGGAGTACTTGTCCTCCGGCGAGAAGCGTGCTGGATGAGCAGACAAAGTGGGGCGACCATCCTCGGTGCGTTTCTGAAACAACAAAGCACGATGTTAAGTAGGTTCAAAATATCAACATTATTAGTTATTTACCTTCAAGGTGTAGACGCGGTCGCCGTTTTCGTTAATTGTGTACATCAGATACATTTTTAAAGGTTTTTTTTTGTTCTTCTGGTTCAAAAAAAGAGCAGTAAATAAAACACGTGTGGCGTGCGTTGCGGGGTGTTACCGTATTATCAAAAACAAACCCTAAAAATGCCAGATAAGTTGAAGCCCTGGATTCTTAGCGGTTGCCCAAACCTTGGTATAAAACTTTGCTAGAAACCAAAACTTATCGACCACTTTCCATCACTATAACTATTTTAAATAATTTTAAAATAAATAAAATAAAACGATGTCGAACAAAGTGGATAAGCTGCACAAACAGGCTTTGCGGGAGCAACAAAAGCGGATGAAGCCCGGAGAGTGCATGAAATACGTTCGCATGGTTATAGATGCAGGATTTCTGAGTGTTCCCGTGGGTCAGGAGATGCTGCAGCAACTAAACTCAACGGATTTGAAGTATGAAATAAAGAGCTTGCCGGTGAGCTACTGCATCCTGTGGGAGCGAAATGTGGGCCAGCAGACGATTGCCCTGGGAACGGGCCTGGACGAGGCCTGGAAACGGGAGGACCAAGTGGTCCAGTGGCTAAGCGAGTCCAGTTTCCAAAAGGCCGTCAAGGATCAAAGCCTGGCTTGCCTGGGGCCCAGGCTACAGGCCTCCTTTCCGGATGCCCACTACACGGTAGCCCTGCCAAAACTTCGGCATAGCCAACACGGTGGTTCAGCTAGTCAGGATGCCCTGATAGAGATGCAGTTGCTGCAGGAACTCCACGTAGAGCAGCTAAGCAAGCCCGAGGCCCAGGATCTGTGTGCCCTTCTCCAGAGATACACGAAGGCCATTGCCGAGGCTCCCTATAAGAAGCAACGCAACGAATCGCTGGGCTGCTTCAAAAAGTACCTGGCCAACGACAAGAAGCAGTGCGTCAAAGTGGATCAGGGCAATGGCTACGGACGTCTCTGGCAGCAGCACCTGAATCGACTGCCCATGGTCACGCTGGAGGTGGCCGAGTCCATTATAGGCCAGTATCCCTGCCCCAGGAAACTTATTGATCACTTTTCCAGCGATCCCACGGCTGTGCAGAGTCTGGCCGATTTGAAGATCAAGCGCTGCAACGGCCCCCAACCGCTGCACACCGAAAGACGGATCGGAAATGTGCTCAGCAATAAGCTGTACACTTTGTACAACTCCAAGGATCCAAACACTCTGCTATAGGCCATTCTTAGCTTTAGAGTCATATATTAGCCTTCTAAAGTATGTACAATTAGAGTTAAATGTTTAGGTAGAGCTAAATATTTTACATTATTCTTCCCACCGTAAAGGTATAATTTAAAAATCACAATGTTCCTATACACATAACTATGAATTCAATTAATTGTTGTTTGCACACCTGAAGAATTGATAATATGTCCGGTATGTCCGTGAACATTGGATTGGGCGACGATGATGAGAGTGCCATATAAACTTCAGTCCGTACTCTATAGCGTGGCCAGGATCCGGGTGAATCCCAGGCAGGCGGAGACTATGGTCTGTCCAAGGCCCCAGATCATGGCGTAAATGGGCGACATGGGCAGACTGGAGGCGCGGTGCACGAAGGCGATGACCGCACTGCTGATGATGCCGCTCGAGGCCGGCGACAGGAATCCCATGACCAGGATCAGGATCGAGAAGAATCGCCCGAACTTGTGCTTCCGCAGCGTGGCGAAGGCCACCACGGCGGCGCAGGTGTGGATGAAAATGGAGGAGAAGAGGGCCCACAGGAAGACGTGGTACCACATTTCGCGAAAGGTATTGAGACGCGCCTGCGACCGGAGGCCCATCACATCGGCGATGGTGTCCAGTTCATCGGTGTCGAAGCCCTCGGAAAACATTGTTGGAATCTTATGTGGGTCGCCTGATTACTAGTTGCTAGTTATTGCTTATCCGTTGGTCAGTTGAGTGTCCAGCCGCATGTCTGGCGGGGATTCCCTCCTTATAGCATATATCACCCGTGGTTCATGGATCTACAAAAGGGGGAACAGACCATCAGATTTGACCTCCTGGCATTTATCCATACTCACGCCCACACATGTGTGCCTAAAGGCCACACCCACGAAACATTGGTCGTACTTTGCTGTCGGAATCAAATTGGAGTCCTCCCCGGCAGCCTGATCGTATATAACATGGTTTCTAACTTGCGGTTAGCACTATATTTTCACAATTGTTTGGTTTATCTTTAATTCGGTCAACAATCGATTGGACTTTCGTCACGGCACTCAATTTGCCTCTTTCGGGCGGCAGTGAATCCTATATCTCGCTTAACTATCAAGTTATTGGTCTCAAGCAGCCATAACTGCACTTTTTGAGCAAAACAAAGCGCTTCTTGTTAATTTAATTAAATTTTTTAATGTTTTTGTCTGCGATTTCCTATAGCAACGGGAGTGGAACGATTTGGGAATGGGCCAGTTCTGATAAGCAGTCAGCTGTGACTCATTTCGGAACTAGTTCGGCGATTATAATATAACTAAATTGAATGGTTATTGAAAGAATATTTTAGTGTTGACTCTTGCTATAAGAAACCCACAAGTTTTTTAATTTATCAGCCACTAGAACCCATTTTTAAATTTTAACTTAATTCCAATAAGCTCACTTATCGTTATCGAGCCCTTTCTATCGCCGAACCAGTTCCACAAGAACCATCTTAGCACAAGTGACAACTCTGCAACCAATCCATAAACAAAAAAAATTTTGTGTAAACTAAAAACAAAAGCGGAAGTTGAAAAGCGACTTTTTAGAATATAATTTGGCTCTTTATGATTTGTTAGGTTTCTGTTTTGGAGAATGGGATGCTGAGGAGCACCTGAACAGTGTAAGTCGTCCTGCTGCTATGACACATTTCTTCCGAGCCTACACTCGTACATATGTAGCTGCAACAAGACATATATACATATATATGTATCCTACGCACTCTCGGCTATATATGTTCCGATATGTGTGTGCACCGCCAATCTGAGAATCGGTTAAACTTAAAGCCTCCAATTGGGGTTCACACACTGGCGTACATATATGTGTATGGATTGTATATTGTATTTTGACCCAGCATATGCTTGCGAACCGCGATTAATTGAAGGCCCCCCATTGCAGACTTCATATACTTCGAGCCCCACAAAACCAACGACGCATTTAATCAATGTTCTCCAACGGATTGCCGTGCAATCTGTCGTTTCCGAGCTGTCTCAGTGTTCCAAAAGACGAGATCGGTAATGAAGAGCTCCTGCCATCCAATATGGGGACTCGCGAGCCTGTTATACTCAACGTCTATGACATGGTATGCATATATTCCAACCCCTAGATGAATCTTAGTTGAATATATCCTCTTTTGCAGTACTGGATCAACGAGTACACCACCTCCATCGGCCTGGGCGTGTTCCACTCCGGCGTAGAAGCCTTTGGCACCGAGTTCGCCTACGGCGGCCATCCGTTCCCCTTCACGGGGGTCTTTGAGATCTCGCCGCGGGATCACGACGAACTGGGGGATCAGTTCCAGTTCCGGCAGAGCATCCAAATCGGCTGCACCGACTTCACGTACGAGGAGGTGCGTCGGATTGTCGAGGAGCTGGGCAATCAGTTCCGCGGCGACCGGTACCATCTCATGAATAACAACTGCAACCACTTCTCGGGCTCATTAACTCAGGTGAGAAATATGGTTAGCCTCAGCCTGTAAAGATCGGAAAACTTTCCATTGACACCTTAAAGTGCGTTTGGGTGGATCCGAAACCTTTAGAGATATGAAAACCACATTTGGGGGTGTGCTAATCAATGAATCACCGAATGTCAGATACCGTGAATTACAACCTTAATTTTGAACCGTGAATCACTTCAATTAGTAAGCAGACATCAGATTCTTTACTTGTTAGATTTTCATTGAATGGTTATCCCATATTTCTGAAAAATTACCTTTGAGTTTCATTCAATTTGCGAAGTAATAGACACAAGGCATACCAAAATGTGGACTTCAAACCTGATTAACATATTCAAAATTAAGCTTACAAAACTTACTTACCCATTCTAGATACTTTGCGGCCAAGAAATACCCAGCTGGGTCAATCGTTTAGCGCATTTCAGCTCCTGTGTGCCATTTCTACAAAGATGTTTGCCAAAGTAAGCCTTCTTAAGTTAAATAATATTGTGTTCACGATTATAAATACATTTCTATCGGTTTTTTAGAGAATGGCTGACACCCAATGCCTTGCAACAGAGCATTACCACAATCCAAGAACGCGAAGACTCCGACAACAGTCCCCTTTGAGACGTTACCTGACCGAGAATATGTCACTTGGCGACACACAAGCGATCATAGTTCACATCCAACAGCAGTCCTAAGACCAACATTGTTAAGTTACACAGAGCGAAATGCCGGGTTACTCACGTCACATCATTTTCCAAGCCAACAACGCCCCAAACAAAAAAGCAACAACTATTATTAATAGACTTAAATTAGGCGATATACATACTTACATAGAACATACCTACATAGAAACATACTTATACATACATGCGAAGTGACTAAATTATTGGCTATTGTAATTTGTATTTGTAATATGACTATTCAGAATTAAGATATTATTAAGTGGCCGGTAAATTTAAGTAGCAGGCGCCGTTCAGCAGCAGTGTCATTTATAGAATTTTAAATTAACTACGAAGACATCGAGAAATCATCATTAGGCACTTGCTAAAAATGTACTAACAATACTGCAGACATATTGGTGGACGATATCAAAATGTTGCCCAATTTACTTGTTTACTTTTGTCAGCGGTGGGAATTTGTTTTTTTTGAATTCCCACCAACCATCTGAGCTCGATTATTGAGATGATTTCCTGGTTGATTTCGTTTACACCATTATACAGAGTTCATAAGCCGCATGTCTATCAAAACACCAAAATGATCTGTTATCAATAAATATATGTACTTGACATTCTGATATTTACACATGCATAAATACTATTATTAAACATTTTTAAAGAAAAATATATTTTGATCGAAAACATTCGGTTGGGTTTCATTTACAAACGAGTGGTGTGAATTTACATTAATTAATCAAGATTTCATAGTTATGTATACTTTTTTTTGAAGAAAATGAAACATTTTATTTGTATACCCCTGCAGATCATTCTATTAATTTATTAATAACACTGTGCAGCATTTTTAGCGCTTTTTAAATTTACCTCGATGGATGCTATATTTTTGGATTCGTTACGAATTCCCAAGTTAACCTGCGTTTTTCAAAAAGTTCCCCGACGCAAGGATTTTTAGCAAAAGGACCTCCAAGTTCGAAAAATGCTGAAATTGGCAAACTTTCCGGAGCTCTCAGAGGCAAACGGATTCATGGATTGATTCGATGTTAAAGTTTTTTGAAAGATACACTCTTTATCTTTCAAGCCCCATACTTAGAATAATTTTAGGATTTTTTTTAAGACAGAAATAAATTCTAGAAAACATAGCTCCCACAGCTCCCATAGGAATAATCGGGAAAAAAAAATGTAAAAAAAATTATATCTTGGGTGTTTTTCAACATATGACCCCCTACTTTCAGAAATACAAAATAGTTTTCAAAAGTAGGCCTTTAAAACTTTTTTGTATAGAAATTGTTGTTGGAATTGATTTACACTTTTACACTTTACAAAGTTTGGCTATATCATATAGGTGCCATAGAAACGATCTGAACATTAATGGGAATATAATAGGAAATAAATTATCGGTTCGTTGGTTTTTATTGTATTCTCTTCTACTCAGGGATATGACTCTTTTTAAATATTTTCGAATTTCGATTTTAATTTTATCAATATCGAACTACTATGTCATATAGCTGCCATAGGAACGATCGGAAAATTAATGAGAAATAATATTTAAAAAGATTTAACATTTTTGAGATTTGTAAATTAATAGGAATTATGTGCAAGGGTATATAAGCTTCGGCTGGCCGAAGCTAGCTTCCTTTCTTGTTCTATGTTGATTTTACATGGTTATTTTTTTTTTGTGTGTATTTTGGGGTTTTTTCATCAAATGTGGATCTATATTTATTCATTATATCTGGTTTACTTAACTTCATAAGTGACTTCAAGAGCTTCTCCGGCTCATTAAGTCCAGTTGGTATTATGAAGGGACCAAACCATCTTTTTGCATCAACGGCTGTCTCTTGAAACATCGTGATGTCCCTAAGTAAGGGTAGACTTGCCAGATCCTGGACAATCGCCAGGATTTCGGTTAACGATACAAGACGGGTAAAATTCAAAGTAGCGTTTTCCAGGTTGATCAGGCATCCGATTGTTTTGCAAAGCACACTTAAATCTCCGATCCAATCCTCGTCAAATTTAAAGTACAGAGTTTTCGCTAGATCACCATTATCTTGCATAAGGAGCAACTCCTCCGAAGTTCCGGTGAGTTTCACTCTTCTATAGAGGGTCCTGGCATTCATCGTTATCACATTTCGAAACCGAGTGCAAACGTTGCCAAAGTGCAAGTGATCCTTGGTGGGCAAGTAGGTCAATATGACGGCCAAACAGTCATCGTTCAGATCCAACAGTGATGAAACCATTTCTTATTGTTGTATAAACACTATTTTCTATAGGTGATGATAAGATAATGACTAACCGCTTGTCAGACCGTTTTCTAGTCTGATCTTAATACATAATCCTGTGTACATTTTTTCTGGCTATTTTAAATTTTAGTTCAGGTGCTACAGAGATACCATTTAGCCGATTAAACTTAAATTTCCTACGAATTTGATCGAAAGAGATATCTGTAGCAAATCCAAAATTATTTTGTATTTCGTGTAGTATTTTTTAGTGCGGTTTTATGTGGGGCCAGGCGTTAGTGCATTCCCGTGTTGCCGGCTCGAGCTCTCATTTTAAGGCAGGAAGAGGAATCCCGCCATGAATGGGTCTTCGAAACTGGTTCTGCCCGTAGGCTTTGTGCTCTACTCGCTGCCACTGTTTCTTCGGGTTAACGGCACCTCGGACTATGTAAACGACGAGGAGTTCCACATCCCGCAGGGATTGGCCTTCTGCCGCAAGGAATTCGATGTGGTAAGCCGGAAAATGGAGCACTACATGGGGGTTGAGGCTTCTCAGCTTGACAGGTGCCGGGATCAACATCCTCCTGCTCTACGAGATCCGGCGCCGCATCCTGGCCGGCTCGGGAGGAAATTCGTATGCTGCCCATGAGGCCGTAACGATGTCCGTGCTCCCGCCACTCTACTTCTTCAGCCACCTCTACTACACAGACACAGACACCCTGTCGCTGAACATGGCGCTCCTGTTCTAAAACTATTGGCAGCAGAAAGCTCATCTGCCGGCGTCGGTCTTCGGGGCCGCCAGTGTACTGTGGGTTTGTATGGCCACCGGGACGACAGTGCTGGACACGTTAGTACACCAAAGCGTACGCACTCGAGCCGTTCCT